ACGCGGAACCAAAACGGCCTTACCCTTATCTCTCGGACACGGCCAAACATCCCACACGCGACTTTGGTGCAGACTCATAGAAATAAAAAAAAATCATTATAACAGAATGGACATAACAAGTTCATACTAGCAGTAGTATAATAGAATTAAATCACAATTACATAAGCAACAAGAATTAGTAATAGATTTGCATATAAATCAATATAATATATTTAAGCTACCATAAATGGCTCTAATACCAAGAAGGGGAGGATTGATTACAAACAAACAACGAAAGCTTTTATTTAATGCAAACTTATGTACAAAGCTTCACTTACAATAGTAGTGGATAAGGTAGAAGATGAAAACTAATATATAAGAGAAGATGGTTCAGAGATGGTGCAAGGAGAGAAGGGAGGAAAGTGGATGTAAGGAGATAAGTGGGTGCAAAACGCGATGTCTCCAACAGGCTAGAACTACATCTCTTAAATAGAGCATATATATATAGGATCCACATGAAGAACCTCAAAAATTAATTGCAAAATAATGATCAAACATTGAATTATTGGCATTACAACCCAAATCCAATACAAACACATAGCAATAGTGACTACTTTATTACAAGCAGACACAAACTGTGTAAAGTCATGCACAAGCGTAGCAAAAAAGTAAGATACAAAGGCTTATTTGTTGACACAAGTAGCACAAGAAGTTGCAGAAACATTCTCAATTCCGAAATTAAGTACAATTGACATTTTCCTTCTTATTCGACTAGTTAACTAACAAGTTATGCGAATGCATGAGCCATAAATGTAATTACCACCAATCGATCCACTTACCCTGGCATGGCAGAGTAGTCTAGTTTACATTAGATGTCGTTACAAGGTGGACAATGAAGTGGATAGACGGTTTCACATTTTTATATTGTTGTGCTTCCATCGTCACCATTTTTGCAATTTACAAAATAATATATATACAGATTGATTGATAGTTTTTCTTATATCTGAATATTTTTATGTTATATAGTATCTTTAGTCACNCAATTTACAAAATAATATATATACAGATTGATTGATAGTTTTTCTTATATCTGAATATTTTTATGTTATATAGTATCTTTAGTCACGACATAATTTCGGAATAGGATAAGGTTTTTTGAGAGCATTTAATGTGAATGGGAAAGATTTCGGACATAATTTCAAACATAACCGACTCCTAAAGAGTTGGTCAAAATCAAATAGATGGGAATGAGATAAGGTTTTTTTGGATTGAGTCACTTATAACAAACCCAATTAATCAGAAAAAGGAGAGAGACTCCATGGCTAGATTTTTTGGCGAAAGTTGTGATGATTTGCAGGAATTTTGCAACTCTACAACAAATGAGNCAACATAATTTCGGAATAGGATAAGGTTTTTTGAGAGCATTTAATGTGAATGGGAAAGATTTCAGACATAATTTCAAACATAACCGACTCCTAAAGAGTTGGTCAAAATCAAATAGATGGGAATGAGATAAGGTTTTTTAGGATTGAGTCACTTATAACAAACCCAATTAATCAGAAAAAGGAGAGAGACTCCATGGCTAGATTTTTGGCGAAAGTTGTGATGATTTGCAGGAATTTTGCAACTCTACAACAAATGAGGCTGATAAGACCCAAAACAAAAGAGAATTCATCATGAGGTTGGATGTTTGAAGTATTTCTCAAACCCAACCCACACAAGGCCTTCACGCAATAAGACATCAAATCCTCCAATGAGGGCTTCATCTCTTCCTAGTGGCAGCCCGACCCAAATTTGGGCCGAGGCAAAAATATTAGATAAGTCCCCATGACAATATAATATAGATACGATAAAATAATTATTTAAATATTATTCTTATTTATTTAATTTTTTTTTCTTTTTTTGAGATACAAAAATGTAAATTCAACTTTTGCATTCAAGCTTTTCGTATATAATTCCATTAATTAAAGTTAAATTTGTGAACCAAAATATAATAAAATTTGTTATCAGTTAAAAATATAGAGAAAAAGAATTCAAATTTACTAATATAGCAAAATAATTTTTCAAATGATAAATGTTAATAGGATTTTAAATAGTAAGTTGCTCCATACCCACTTGGTTTTTTTTGACTATTTTGTTTGTTCTTGTTGGGTGTTGATAAAAAAAAATTAAGTAAAAACTCCGGCACGCACAAAAAGAGCATCGAATTTAATCTAAAAGTTGGTTGCTTGTCTCTTGGTTCTTGCAAATGAAAACCCCTCCTATTTATAAGTCCTTCATCTCNGGCACGCACAAAAAGAGCGTCGAATTTAATCTAAAAGTTGGTTACTTGTCTCTTGGTTCTTGCAAATGAAAACCCCTCCTATTTATAAGTCCTTCATCTCACCATGAATGACTATGATATTGTCAAATGTTGCCTTACAATCTTTTGTTCAAATATTTGGTTTTTTAATATGTACAAAAACATTTTAGTTCTCTCTTATATTTTTGNTCACCATGAATGACTATGATATTGTCAAATGTTGCCTTACAATCTTTTGTTCAAATATTTGGTTTTTTAATATGTACAAAAACATTTTAGTTCTCTCTTATATTTTTGCTTATATTCCTTGCATATTTTAGAATGTTCCTTGAAGAAGATTTAAATAAAAAATCGTTTTTAGGATCCTCTAAAATATTCCTTCAATTGGTCTTAAAATTAAAGAATTCGACCTAAGGTTGTTTGAAATTTTAAAAAAAAGGGGACATTACAAAAGTCTCAATTAATATAAAGTATTGAGTGTTGAAAATCTTGAGATAACTCATTTTTTCAGTATTTACATAAAAAATAGATAAAATTGGAAAAACAAATGTATTAAAAAGCATTCTATACTCATTCTATATGTAAATCGTGTCTGACAGTTATGTTTCATGTTTCATATTTAGCAAATATATATAATTTATTTGTTTATCACCCGTATCTATTAAGGTTAAACTCAAACTTGTTATTTTCGTATCAATTTTTTTATTGAGTTTGCACTTCCTATCTAAAATTGTCTTAAAATTAGAGGCCTAAATTTTTTTAAGTTATTCTAATTTTTTTTTGGGGCCCACATATTTGTTTTATATTGAATATTAATTGTATAATATTTATATTTTAAATAATAATTTATTTTTATTTTTTTAATTAAATAATTTAAAATTAACGAGAAAATATAAGGGATGTAAGGAAAAGAGTAACAAGTCTCTCTCATGTTACTCTCTCTTTCTTTCTATCTTTGACCACCTACGTCTCCACGACCTCTCCACTTCCACCCTCCTATCTCTCTTAGAACATCTCTAATGTGCTAGTTATTAGATATTTGTTAATTAAAATAAAGAGTTAAATCACAAAATTATATTTCAAAAGACTAGCTATTTGGCGGGTTATTTTATATTTGAGTTAAATTGCTCTCTATATTTAGTTAGTCTTCTTGACTAACTATTTTTTATTTTGATAGCGAAATAACTCTTTTTGCATTTTATAGGAATAATTATTTTGTATTTTAATGAGGTGTCAAGTTATACAATATCTTAACTTAAAATATTAATAATAATTAATTAAAATAGAGGATACGATTAGAATAACTTTGTAAAAATAATTTTTTAACATAAAAAATATAATATTTTAAATAATTATTTTGAGAGGACGACTTCAGAGATTCTCTTACCTCTCTCCCTCTTCTCTGCCATGAATCTGCCCACCACCTAGATTTGAAAAAGGAGAAGACAGTGAATAATCTCCACCGAGATTTGAAGAAGCAATTGCCATGGATCTGTTCCTCTAGGTAATCTCCCTCTCCCTCCCACTCTCTCGCTCTCTCTCTGCCTTCATCTTTCTCCACTCACGCACACACACATAGAGCACGCACTCACACACAGCCCGAAACACACACACAGAACAAACAAAGGCGCACCCACACACACCCCTGCACAGAATAATACACTCAATACAACACACATCACAACCACATTCATACACATTTTGTGGCTAATTGAAAGTTAGGGTTTTCGAATTGGTGCAAATTTGGGTGTTAATTTTAATTGGGTATTAATTGAGTGTTAATTGGGGTGTTAATTTCAAATTGAATTGTAGGGTTTTGATTGAATGATTTTATTGTTATCAAATTGCATGTTAGGTTTTTTTGTGGGTTTCCATTTCTGTGAGGTTAATTTGTGGGTTTCAATGTAATGTAGGCAACTGTTCTTTGTATTTGCCCAGTAAAATAAAAACTGCAAAACTGCTTTGCTATTAAAAAAAAACAAAACCTTACTCTTTAACTAAAATTCTAAAGTCAATAATTATTCATCCATAAACTTCATCATTGATATTTACAATGGAAATAAGTAATTGATTGGGGAAATTAGATTGAGCTTGGGCTTGAAGAGTAATTAAGTCATTGATGGTTTAATCTTGAAGTCATTGTTTCTCTTGCCTTGGGCAATTCTTCGTGTTACTATTAAACTTGCATGTGATGAAATTGGAAATGCAAAGTTTAAATTTGAATCTTTTAGTTTACATGTAATTTAGTGCTTGGATTATTGTTTAATTAATGGATTGAAGATGGTTTTATGGTAAAGCTAATTGTTGAGGATTAATTTTGGGGTACTCACCGGTTGGTTGAAAAAAATTTAGATGCAAAGGTTTAAAATTGTTGCTCCTCGGTTGATGCTCTACGTTTTTGAATTTTTGGTGATTCAGGTATTTATAAAAGTGTGATATAAGTTTTGTATGTTTTTGGGAATTTGGGAATCATGTGGATGATGGGGGCTTGACTTACTTTATTGGTGATTTTCTTCCCATTGTTGTGCAAGAGTACCCAAAAAATGGCCCCGACAGCTCATCAGGCATTGCTTGGTCAGTTGCCAATGATTGGCAGCGGGTGAAATAGAGGCATTCTTTGCATTGGGCTCTCTTCTTCAATTCAATCTTTGGGTTTGACATTTTTTTTTTTGGGGAAGGGGGACTTGAACCCTTGACCTCAAAAAAGCAAAGTCATTAGAAAACAAAGAGTACCATTGGATCAAAAGCCTAGTGATGGTTTGACATTTCTTAGGTCGCTATCTGACGATTAATTCCATGCTGCTCAGCAAACCTCTCACATGGGTAGGTATTTAACTTTCAATGCTCTGTTGCATTTGATTCATAATGTTTCCTTATTATAAACTCTTATATTAGGCGATGACCTATTGTTTCAGTGGAATTTTTTTAGCAGGTCTAAATTAGAAACGAGAATTATTTTAATTTCTATGCAACTCCTTTTCGTACCAAAATAAGGGGTCAATTCCCTACTATGCTGGTTAAAGAAGTAGATTCCTTACCTCTGCTAATAAAAGATGAAACAAGAGACCTTCCCAAATCTAAAGTCAACTTCAGTTCTATTCAATCTTTCTGATACTTTCAATCAAATCCCATTACAGAAAAGATGGTTTCAAACATGTTTTCTGATCTCAACATGCCTTCTGCAAAAACACTTGTGTCTACGGTAGCTTCTGTTGCTGCTTCTGCCATAGTGGTCCGATCGATAGTCCGAGACCTCGTACCTTATGAGCTTCAACAATATGTCTTCTCGAGCTTCCGAAATATTTTCAAAACGTTTTCGTCCGAGATAGTCGTGATCATCGAAAAATACGATGGCCTTGTCCACAATCAAATCTACAGGGCTGCTGGAATTTATTTAGGCACAAAAATCTCACCCTCTACCCAAATGTTTAAAGTGAGCATGCCCAAGAAGGAGACGAAGATAAAGACTTCCATGGCGAGCAATCAAGAAATCATCGACAATTTCAATGGTGTTCAATTCAAATGGAGGAAAATCACAAGACACGTTGAATCTTCCACTAGTCAACCTTCATCCTCTCAGACAGAAATTCGATTTTTTAGGCTAAGTTTTCGCAAGAAACACATGGCAATGGTATTTGATTCTTACTTTCCTTTCATTCTAAAGGAGTCGAAGAAGCTGAAACAAGAGAGAAAGACACTGAAAATCCGCACATTGAATGGCGATAGCATGCGAAGTTATTCAAGAGGGGGGTCTTTATGGAAATCCATAACTTTCGATCATCCAGCAAATTTTGATACATTGGCAATGGATACAGAGATGAAGAGAATGATCATGGATGATCTCGAACGATTTGTGAGAAGAAAGGAGTTGTATAGGAAAGTAGGGAAGGCTTGGAAAAGAGGGTACTTGTTGTATGGTCCTCCTGGGACAGGGAAATCGAGCTTGATCGCAGCAATGGCGAATTACCTGAACTTTGATATCTATGACTTGGAGCTCACTGCTATTCATAGCAACTCAGACCTGAGGAAACTGTTGATTGGCAGCCCGAACCAGTCGATTCTTGTGGTTGAGGATATTGATTGTAGTCTTGAGTTTGAAGATCGAAAAGCCAAAGAACCAGCTCTAAAGAGCATTCAATCTAGTCAAGAGAGCCAAGCTCAGACTGTGAATATTGTTCCGCAACAGAAACTGAGCCAAGTATGTTTGTTCTCTCTCTCTCTCTCTCTCTCTCTCTCTCTCTCTCTCTCAACCTAATCGAAACCTAATTCAACGCAACTATTATACTAATTCTGAATTCTAATGTTAAATGGAGCTCACTTAAAATCCAACAGCTACAACTAATCAGGTCCAAATAGCATTTTTCAAAATCCAGTATTTGGCACATAAGCAAAAATTGCAATTGCCAAACTTCATTTTAGGCGATCACATGCTTAGACAATGCCCTGTTCAACCCTAAGTTTCATTCAACTGTAGATAACCTATTAAGAATTCAAATGAGACCTTCTATATATGGAGTGTTCTCAACAATATGCGATTGGTGATATACCATGAGTACTAGTGTATTGGAGAGGACGTTGATCCCAAAAAAAAGAGCTTTTCTCTCCATAAACCATTGTCCAATCCAATGCTTGTGGCCTCTTTTGATATGTTGAGGTTGAACTCTTTGTCCTCCAATTAAAACCACAAAAATTGAATTGGCAATAAGGATGGAAATGAATTGTGTCGAGTTGGTTTCTTGTCGTGCCTTTGTCATGCTTGTTTAACTCATATCTTTGTTGAGTTTGTGTCGTGTACTCTTTGTTTAGCTGGCTTCATATCACCCAATTTAGTACACAGATTTATTGAGGTAATTTGATGTTTTGTTCACAAGTCATGTCTAAAATAAAATTGTAGGCCCTACTTGTCAATGCCATTCTCTTCTGTCTCAATAGCAAAATATCTTCTGCTCTGCTAAGCCAAACACTGCACAATAAGTAACACATTCTTTGTCAAATTTTCTCTCTCTTCCCTCAGGTAACACTTTCGGGGCTGTTCAATTTCATTGACGGACTCTGGTCAAGCTGTGGAGACCAACGGATTATCATTTTCACAACCAATCACAAAGATCGAATCGACCCAACTTTGCTACGTCCTGGCCGCATGGATTTGCACATCCACATGTCTTATTGCACTCCCTGTGCCTTCAAGACTCTAGCCATGAACTATCTTGGAATTACAGAGCACTCTTTTTTCCCCGAAATCAATGATCTGTTGGAAAAGACAATGGTGAGCCCTGCAGAAATTGGAGAGCAATTACTGAAAAATGAGGAACCAGAGGCTGCACTACAGGGCCTGATTGAGTTCCTCCAGAGGAAGAAGAGAGAGAGTGAGGAAATGGAAGCAAGAAAACTAGAAGGAGAGAGAGATATGGGGAAGAGTGAAGTATGAGAATTCAGCAAAGGGGTGGAAAAAAATTGTACATAAAAACTGATCTGATTTAATGACTTGGTGATATTATGGTTGTGACATGTTTTAATAGAATTATTGTAACTGTAATTGTTAGACTTTTTTAGGTTAACTACTCTGTTCAAATTAAAAAGAAGTTGATAGATTACATTCTTTCCCTGTAGAGATCAGTAGGTTATTTTGCCTCCAGTTCCTTGTGTTTGATGAAATTATTAAACCAAATATACCTTAGAATTGATCAGGGATGGCATTAAAGTTTCAGAAAATTCAAAGGAAGTCCATGAACTTATAACTAATTTATAGGGGAGTGGAAGAAATTTTTCTAAGCCATAATCATAATTTCAACCCATGGAGTATTTTCATGAAGAGCAACTGTACCTGGACTTAATAATCAATCACAATCATTAATTTAACTATAGGTCTAAATATCATTTAGAATTCATTATCAATTCAATAGTTATAATTGATTAAGTCAACATATCTTATAAGCATTTTAGGTCCAAGTAGTAATTTTTTCACCATATAGTTTTGCTCATAATATTATGAAACAAAAGAACTCAAGTCGCTTAAAGATTTGAATCTAGGAAGTACAATCACGGTAGGGTTTAGGCCTCTCCCGACCTCTCACAAATATGATCTTTTTATTGCACCATTGTTGAACACATAATAGTATTTTGATCTAATCACTTGATCTAATTTGTTAAGAAAATATGATTATTATCATAAGATCAATAGTAGATTCGGTTCAATATGTTCAAACGCTCCGCCAATCTGACAGTGAATTAAGTTAACAAATTAGGATTAATGATTAAGTCGAAACGACAAATCACGTGTTGTGGAAGTTTGCCCCACTAATTCCTGTGTCCCAAGTTCTTCTTCATCTTTCTCTTCTTTTAGTTTTCTAGCTTCCATTTCATCATTCTCTCTCTTCTTCTTATGGAGGAACTCAATCAGGCCCTGTAGTGCAGCCTCAGGCTCCTCATTTCTCAGCAATTGCTCACCAACTTCTGCAGGGGTCACCTTTGTCTTCTCCAACATACCATTAACTTCAACAAAGAGAGGGTGGTCTGAAATTCCAAGATAGTTCTCTGACAGAGTCTTGAAGGCACAAGGAGTGCAATAAGACATGTGGATGTGCACATCCATTCGGCCCGGGCGGAGCAAAGCTGGGTCAATTCGATCTTTATGATTGGTTGTGAAAATGATAATCCGTTCGTCGCCACAGCTTGACCAGAGTCCATCAATGAAATTAAGCAGCCCTGACAGTGTCACCTAGGGGAGTAAAAAAAAAAAAGAAAAGGAAATTCAACAACAAAATGTGATGGTTACCAAATATTGTTTGTTTAGGCAGAGCATTTGCTGTGAAACTGTAGAGAATAGCATTGCCAAGTCGATTTGTATAGTTCTAATTGCAGGATAAAGAGTTTCAGTCTGCCACATTGATTTATTTTTGCCTTAGAAATCACCAACCGTGCATTCCACGGGATCCAAATCCCGATTTTCGATAATGTCACTTTTTGCTCTATGTGCCAAAAGCATATTGACACCACTATAAGCCCTTAATTCCCGGAAGATCAGAAAACACTCTGTTTCTGATCAAAAAGGCTTTCTCCTCTCGCATCCACCCAACTCTCAACTTTCTAGGCAAAATTTTTAACCTATCTTGGCAAGCCTTCGACGTTCCTTGTCCAAGATTGGATGGCAGCAACAAAAGTCCACACTTAGTTAGACTTTAAGACTTTTAAAACACCCATTTTTGAATTTTAGGCCAAGCCCTAAAGGTTTCTGGACAAAACTCAAACAAATACCACTTAACAAGAGCCTGAAGAGAATTATAGGTAAACCCACTTGAAGACAACAAACGAACTGGGTGAACAATCTCGAACGGGGTGGTTTTACGATCTAGATCACCTTAATTTTTGTGGTGATTTGTGTGCGATGAACAATCAAAGAAACAGAAAAATTAGAAGATGGATATAAGAATTTTGCGTGGTTTGACAACTTGCTTACGTCCATGACAAAGCGACTGTCTTGTTTTTATTTCTCACCAAAAATAAGACTACAACTTAATATATATAGGTTATAACCCTAATTAGGACAAATCCCGAAGGCACGTGCAACTCTCCTCTAACAATTACTGGTCCATTACCTCTCCATATATTATAATATGACCCACTTATTCTAACAAATTTCAATCCCAAATTATAATCCTACACCCAAATTCATTTGCTTCGGAACTTGTATCACAAATATAAACAATACTAATCGACCATGTATCTATGAGTGTTTAAGCATCTAAAATCTAAGATAATAGAAAACCGATCAAAAATGTAAAACAATTACTAATCGATCCATGTTTTCTTTCATCTAATAATGAAAATGATCTAGATTTCTAAAACAATTAGCAGCCCAAAACATCAAATCAAAACCACGTACCCGACAAAGAGTCATACCACGTATTCGTACTTGTACTATTTACTAAATCGACCCACAATTCAGATAATATTATGTAAACAAATGGATATTTTACAGTACTTGGTTTATTGAGAAGAAAAGAAAGAGAAAGCAAACATACTTGGTTCGGTTTATTTTGGTGAATAATATTGACAGTCTGAGCTTGGCTCGCTTTACTTGATCGAAGGACCTTCAATGCTCGTTCTTCGGCTTTTCGATCATCAAGCTCAAGACTACAATCAATATCCTCAACTACCAGAATGGACTTGTTTGCAGTGCCAATCAACAGTTTCCTCAGCTCTGAATTAGCATGAATATCAGTCAACTCCAAATCATATATATCAAAGTTTAGATAATTTGCCATCGCTGCGATCAAGCTCGATTTTCCTGTCCCTGGAGGACCATACAACAAGTACCCTCGTTTCCAAGCCTTTCCTACTTTCCTATAGAACTCCTTTCTTCTCACAAATCGTTCAAGATCGTCCATGACCATTCTCTTCATCTCTGTATCCATTGCCAATGTATCGAAATTCGCTGGATGATCAAGAGTTACGGAATTCCATGACCAATCTCCTGAATATCTACGCATTTGATCAGAATTCACTGTGTGAATCTTGAGGGTTTTTTTCTCGTCCTTAAAATTCTTAGACTCCTTTATAACGAAAGGAAAATAAGAATCAAACACCATCGCTTTGTGTTTCTTGTGAAAACAAAGCGTGAAGTATCGAATTTCTGTCTGCGTTGACGAAGATTGGCCGTTGTAAACGACACGTTTAGATTCAAGCTGTCTTGTGATTTGCCTCCATTTGAATCGAACACCATTGAAATTGTCGATGATTTCTTGATTGCTCGTTATGGAAGTCTTTATCTTCGTCTCCTTCTCGGGCATACTCACTTTGAAAGTCAGGGTAGAGGGTGAGATTTTTGTGCCTAAATAGATTTCAGCAGCCTTGTAGATTTGATTGCCTACAAGACCATCGAATTCTTCGACGATCAAGACTATCTCAGACG